TGAAAGAGAATAAAGAATGAAAGAAATAGAGAGGATGAAAGAATAGATAATGAAAGAGAATAAAAGAATGAAAAGAAATGAAAAGAGAGGATGAAAAGAATAAAGAATGAAATGAAAGAAAAGAATAGATAATGAAAGAGAATAAAGAATGAAGAGAAAGAATGAAAGATAATGAAAGAGAATAAAGAAAGAAAGAAATAGAAAGGATGAAAGAATAGATAATGAAAGAGAATAAAGAATGAAAGAAAAGAGAGGATGAAAGAATAGATGATGAAAAGAATAAAGAATGAAAGAAAAAGAAAAAGAATAGATGATGAAAGAGAATGAATGAAAGAGAATAAAGAATGAAAGAATAAAAATGAAAAAGAAATAGAGAGGATGAAAGAATAGATGATGAAAGAGAATAAAGAATGAAAGAAATAGAGAAAGGGTGAAAGAATAGATAATGAAAGAGAATAAAAGAATGAAAGAAATAGAGAGGATGAAAGAATAGATAATGAAAGAGAATAAAGAATGAAAGAAATAGAGAGGATGAAAGAATAGATAATGAAAGAGAATAAAGAATGAAAGAAATAGAGAGGATGAAAGAATAGAATGAAAAGAATAAAGAATGAAAGAAATAGAGAGGATGAAAGAATAGATAAAGATAAAGAATGAAAGAAATAGAGAGGATGAAGAGAAAAAAGAATGAAAGAAAAAGAGAGGATGAAAGAAAGAAATGAAAGAGAATAAAGAAAGAAAGAAATAGAAAGGATGAAAGAATAGATAATGAAAGAGAATAAAGAATGAAAGAAATAGAGAGGATGAAAAGAATAGATGATGAAAGAGAATAAAGAATGAAAGAAATAGAGAGGATGAAAGAAATAGATGATGAAAGAGAATAAAGAAAGAAAGAAAGAGAATAAAGAATGAAAAGAATAGATAATGAAAGAGAATAAAGAATGAAAGAAATAGAGAGGATGAAAGAATAGATGATGAAAAGAATAAAGAAGAATAAAGAATGATAGATAATGAAAGAGAATAGGATGAAAGAATATATGATGAAAAGAATAAAGAATAAAGAAATAAAGAAATATGAAAGAGGTGAAAGAATGAAAGAGATGAAAGAAGATGATGAAAAGAATAAAAGAATAAAGAAAAGAAAAGAGGATGAAAGAATAGATGAGAGAATAAAGAATGAAAGAAATAGAGATGATGAAAGAGAATAAAGAAAGAAAGAAATAGAGAGGACTAAAGAATAGTTGATGAAAGAGAAAAAAGAAAGAAAGAAATAGATAGGGTGAAAGAATAGATAACAGCGTATAGAAAGAAGGAACGGAAGTTTTGAAGAAAAATAGTTGACGAGAGGCAAATAGGCAGAGGTGGAATGTTAAGGAATAAAGAAAAAGAGAAAATAAGAAAAAGAAGATGAAGTAGAAGTTGAAAGAAAAAGCGTAGTAAGACAGAGAAAGGAATAAGTGGGAGTAAAAATAAAAAAGAAAGGATAGCAGAGAAAATTATGTAACAGAAAAAAAAAAGACGAGGTAGAAAAAAAAAGAAGGAAATAAGATTAATCCGAAAATAGAACAAAGAGGAAGAAAAAAATGAAGGAAATAAGATTATCCGAAAAAAAAAGAAGAAAAAAAATGTCCAGAAAAAAAAAAAGAAAAGAAAAAGACAGAAAAAAAAAAGCAGGATAATGAGCTTTTAGTGAAATCAACAACGAAAATGTCCATTAATCTCTAAGGAAAAAGATGGCGCCCAGCTCGAAGACATTACACTGTATCTGGCGGGAAAAAAAGGCGTAGTTTTTCGCTTGGGGATTGCACAGTTGCATGCTGACTGACGAAGGCATTTATAAATGATATAAACAGCCACACTTTAGTATGCGCGCACAGTGTAGCTAAGAGGTTGAAGCATCGGTTTAGTGACAGAAGGATCTAAATTTGTTAAAATTTGCTACAAAATTTACGAGAACCACAATGGTCGTGAGCAACTTTATTTCTTACGTTGCTTTTATTTATGCATAAAGTAATTTGTTTTAACTATAAAATCATGGTTTTCATTTCCGACAAACCGACATGGAAGGCAAGAGGCTACGCCATGGAAGGCAAGAGGCAAGAGGATACGCCATTTTCTCTCCTTTATTTAATACAATAAGTTTCCATAATAAACGGCCAGACAGAAAATTCTTTCTTGAAATTCACTGTGAATTGATAACTTCTCTATTTCCATTTTGTTTTTTAAGAGTAAGATTAATAAAAAGGAGAAGTATTTTAAAAACAGAAGAAGTAAACATTTCAGCTCGCGATGAAAAACGTAAAGAAAATAAAAAGTATTACCTCTGATAACTTCTTTGACTTCTATATGCATTTAATGTCACAGTTCAATCACTCCTTAACGATTTTTTAACGATCTCCGTCCTGAGTATGTAAAATATTTAAAAATCCAACTAATTAGTATTGTACCTTGTGCAATTAATTTGGTCTCATTGATTTTATTTATCGTTATATCAACATATTTTGAACACAATTTTATGCCTTTAACTACCAATAAAATGAATTGTTAGTCATTTTGCTATAGAATTTATTGTTAGTAATTCTATAAACCGTATTGCTGGTCATTTTGAAAAAAAAAATGTATTGTTGGTCATTTTGTTATAAATATATATGGTTGGTCATTTTACTATAAATAGGTATTGATGGTAGTTTTACTATATGGTAGTTTTACTATAAATAAGTATTTTTATACTTTCATAGTGTTTTGCTTTTACTTGGTATTTCACTATTTGCCCATAGCTGGGACCCTAACAGGTGCTACTACCCCGGATCATGGTGAACTTTTGAACAACAGCAATTAAGAGATGTTTCATGTACTTAAAAAAAAACAAAAAAACTCTAATTTTCCGATCAGAGGCCTTGCTGCCTGATGTGGTCTGTCGTCATACCCAGGACTGGCGTACGACACCTTTGATCGTGGTTGTCTTCTCTTTCTTCAAATATTTTTTACTAATAATGTTCACCAAATACAAGGCCCAAGAGCCAATCAAAGCAGAGTGTTACTGTGTGGGTTTTTATTAGCGCAAGAAAGGACAAGGAGTATAGACTTTAGAATGAACCCGAAACCCCATTCCTAAATAGGAAACAAGGGATAAACCTCTACTCCTGTTCAAAAGACTGGGGGAGGAGTGTGAACTGGACAATAGGCGAGCCTCAAAATAAATCAAATTGATAAATAAAGTGAAAAATAAATTTAAAAATTACTTGATGCGGAGCTGATTTTCATTTTTTTTTATTAATACGTTTATAAAAGAACTATCATGGAAGTAATTACAGAAAACAAACAGGTAAGGTATGTTACGACAGCCAGGACTTTGAAATTTTATTCACTGATTATTTTTCTCTCCCTTTTAATAGGAGCAGATAGGTCCGTCCGTCGTCCGGTTCATACTCCTCCTAGGTCTTTTAGATCGTCTTCTAAATGTCCCCAGTTGATAGAGTTGATGCCTGTGAATTCCTTGAAATGCTATGCAGGCCTAACGACCAGACGGTGTCCCGTGACCAGCTCAGCGTGCATGATGTATTTTGGTATACTTATCAAAAGACATCAAGTACATTTCCCGCCGTCTTTCTGCTGCTTTTACCGTTTGTTTCTTTTTCTTCTTCTTTTTTTCATTCATTTTTCTTCTTACCTTTCTTTTTTATATACAGTGAACTCCCGCCTATTTGCGTTTCAGCATTCGCGGCTTCACACATTAGCAGATTTTTCTGTAGAACATATGTCCTTGTTATTCGCGGAAACCCCGAATATTCGCATATTTTTCTGAAGAACATATGTACAAATTATTCGCTAGGAATTTCCTCGATTCGCATATTTTTTCGATAGAATATAATTAAAATATTCTTGTATTATTTTCCTGTTACTTAAGTGACTTAAAGCATATAACAGTCCATTTTTTATCGTAAAACTAGGCAGAATAGTACATCTTCATTGTAAAAAACAAACACAAAAACATATGTAGTGCTTGGGCTTTGTTCTTTGTTAGGGGCTGTAGTATTAAAAATGGCTTATGCTAAGTCTAGAGTCATCATCACAGTTCTGTTTTTAGAAAATGCTTTAAAGTTTATATTTTATGTCTCACATATTTTATACATTTTTTCAATTGTTGTATCGTTCTATGCGTAATTAAAAACAATTATTGAACGTATGAAAGAAAATTTACGCTAAGTGTATGGTCACCAATACTATTTTACAAAAATGTTTTAAAAAGGCCTGAAATTTTTCTAAAGTGTTTAGGATGAAAATTTAAGGCATATGGGGTTTTAACAATCAAAATAGCTACTTATAATCACTTTTAGGCGAGGGTTACTAGTATTCGCGGATTCTAACTATTCGCGGCCGATTCTGGTCGCAAATAGGGAGTCTCACTGTAAATCATTTCAGCCCAAACAAGGCAATAATGCATCTAAGAAGCAAGGAATAACTGGAAGAGAAAGAGAAGAATTTAGAAGGAACCGGAAACCCAATATTAAGCAGGAAAAAAGGGTACAAGATAATAAGATATCGTAATCATCGTACAAGATATTGAATATCGATGGTATGATATATTACTATTGATCGTATATGTGAAGATCGATGGAGTTTTAATGATTGATTAATTTTCTACGTCTTTTTAAACTATTGCAGGTAATTTAAAGCCAGAAAATAATTTAGGTTGTGAGAATATTTTTTTGGGGGGGGATATAATAATGATTTAGTAATAAACGTCTTACTAATTAACCCATAGCTGAAGGGAGAAAAGGTTGCTTCATATCTTTCACAAGGAAAATCTAACTGAAATTGGAAATCGGTTCTCCGATTAACAACTTCGTATCATTACCCATTACACCACCCGCACATCCAAGCTTACAGCAACTCGTATTCCCAAGCGGTCACCCAGGCTCGACGTTGCTTAACTTCGATGGTAGACAGATAGATTTGTAAGCATACATAAAATGATAAATAAATAAATTAATAAGCACTCATAAAATGGTAGATAGATTTATAAGCACCCATAAAATGGCAGATAGATAGATTTGTAAGCACCCATAAAATGGCAGATAGATAGATTTGTAAGCACACTTAAAATGGCAGATAGATAGATTTTCGTACTCGTAACCAGTGTTTGGAACGTGATATGGCCGTAAGCTAAGAAGTTTTAGAGTAAATGAAAACAAACAGAAGACTTATACGTAGTATCGGAAAGACAGTTGAGATTTCTCAGTCACATAACGAGGAAAGAGTGCTTGGAAAATTTGATACTCACAGGACAGATGGCAGGCAAGAGGAATAGAGAAAAATCAATGCATAACCTACTTAGAGAGCCTGAGTAAATGGATGGCGTGGAAAGGTTTAGGAGAGATAACAAAAAGATAAAATTTATTAAGAGCTATAAAAGAGAGGAGATTGTGGAGAGCCATGATCGCCAAAGTCCTGAAGGGACACGGCACATAGAGGAAGAAGATGGGCTTAGTAAATATTAATACTAATAACGATGAGAAAATAACAAAAATTCAAAGTATGTTGCAACTATTCGATAATCCTCCACCGACGAAAGCCTATTTTAGCCTCAGAATAATGAGAGAGAGAGTAATCGGATTAACTGAGATGTGATCTATTATATCAAATCGAGGCTTTACGTCTGTCTTTTATTCCATGAGATGATGATGACAAGATGGAAGGGAAGATGTAGAAAGGTCTTAAGTAGCGGCCATCGAAAAAGATTAGCAAATGAAATAAAAACAGGGCAAGAGGAATAGAAAGAGGTAAAATGTGAGCGATACATAGCGTTTGGGAGGAAATAAGAAAAAATGGGAAAAGAATAGAAGAAAAAAAGATGTAAGCCAAGAGATGGGGAAAAGAAAGACAAGAAGAAAGCATGAACAAGAAAAGGGAGAAAAAGAGAAAAAGAAGGTAAAGGAAGTTGAAAGAAGAAACGAAGAAGAAAGAGGAAACGTCATAGAAGAGAAAAGGAGGAAATGAAAGAAAAGTAGAAAAGAAAGAAAGAAAAATAGAAAAGAAAGAAAGAAGAGTAGAAATGAAAGAAAGAAAGAAAGAAAGAATAGAAAAAAGAAATAAGAGAAGAAAAAAATAAGAAAGAAAGAAAAGAAGATAGAAAGACAGAAAAGAAAGAAAGAAAAAAGAAAGAAAGAACAGGAGAAAGACAAAAGAGAAGAAAGAATGTAGGGAAAAAACGAAAGAAAAGAAAGAAATAAGAGAAGAAAGAAAAGAAGAAAGAAAGAAAAGAAAGAAAAGAAAGAAAGAAAGAAAGAAAGAAAGAAAGAAAGAAAGAAAGAAAGAAAGAAAGAAAAGAAGAGAAAAAGAAAGAACAGGAGAAAGACAAAAGAGAAGAAAGAATGTAGGGAAAAAACGAAAGAAAAGAAAGAAATAAGAGAAGAAAGAAAAGAAGAAAGAAAGAAAGAAAGAAAGAAAGAAAGAAAGAAAGAAAGAAAGAAAAGAAGAGAAAAAGAAAGAACAGGAGAAAGACAAAAGAGAAGAAAGAATGTAGGGAAAAAACGAAAGAAAAGAAAAAGAAATAAGAGAAGAAAGAAAAGAAGAAAGAAAGAAAAGAAGAAAAAAAGAAAGAAAGAAAGAAAGAAAGAAAGAAAAGAAGAGAAAAAGAAAGAACAGGAGAAAGACAAAAGAGAAGAAAGAATGTAGGGAAAAAACGAAAGAAAAGAAAGAAATAAGAGAAGAAAGAAAAGAAGAAAGAAAGAAAAGAAGAAAGAAAGCCAAAAAGAAAGAAAGAAAGAAAAAAGAGAAAAAGAAAGAAGAGGAGAAAGACAAAAGAGAATAAAGAATACAGAGAAAAACGAAGAAAGCATGAACAAGAAAAGGGAGAAAAAGAGAAAAAGAAGGTAAAGGAAGTTGAAAGAAGAAACGAAGAAGAAAGAGGAAACATCATAGAAGAGAAAAGGAGGAAATGAAAGAAAAGTAGAAAAGAAAGAAAGAAAAGAAGAAAGAAAGAAAAGAAGAAAGAAAGAAAAGAAGATAGAAAGACAGAAAAGAAAGAAAGAATAGAAGAAAGAAAGAAAGAAAGAAAAGTAGAAAAGAAAGAAAGAAAAGAAGAAAGAAAGAAAGCAATAAAGAAGGAAAAGAAGTAAGAAAGAAAGAAAAGTAGAAAAGAAAGAAAGAAAAGAAGAAAGAAAGAAAAGAAGAAAGAAAGAAATAAAGAAGGAAAAGAAGTAAGAAAGAAAGAAAAGTAGAAAAGAAAGAAAGAAAAGTAGAAAAGAAAGAAAGAAAAGTAGCAAAGAAAGAAAAGTAGAAAAGAAAGAAAGAAAAGAAGAAAGAAAGAAGGAAAAGAAGTAAGTAAGAAAGAAAGAATAGAAAAAGAAATAAGAGAAGAATGAAGAGAAGAAATAAAGAAAAGAAGAAAGAATGAAAAGAAGAATAGAAAAGGAAAGAAGAGGAGAAAGACAAACGAAAAGAAAGAATGTAGAAAAAAGAAAGAAAAGAAGAAAGAAAGAATAGAAAAGGAAAAAAATTCAAATGGTAAAGAAAAAAGAAAGAAAGAAAGAACGAACAAGGATAAAAGGATAAATTATAAAATACTATGTAAAACCAGAAAGTATACGAACAACTAAAATATAGTACTATACTCGATGTGCGTTTATCATAACCCTAATTTTCAAGGACAAGATTAATCAATCCAAAAATGAAGAAATCAATGAAGAGCGAAAACTCTGACTTGGGAGATAAGGATTTAACGTTTTATTTAGTTATTTATTTTATTAAAGACATTTTTATGTTTAACGTTCTTTTTTTTTTTTCTTTTTTTTATAGATAAAAGTATTTAAGTAAATGCTCTGTTTATAATAAACAGTATTAAATAACATTTACCGGCCTGAATGTCCGAGAAATTTTCATAGAAAATATTCGTCCTTTGACAGGATTCGAACCTGCATCCTATACGGAACCGTCATTTACGCTGACGTGCCTTACCAATCGGCCACAAAGGAGCGTTCGGTAGGCAAGGTTGAATTAGTTATTTATATATAAATACGCTTCCAGCTATATATGATGTATCACGCTGACTAACCTTCTCCACACATTATTGAAGCATTGACTCGTCCATCCGTTATGAGTAGAACGTCTTCTCATGGAACAGAGAGAAAAAAAGTGGGTCGCAAAGGTGTAGTGTTTTTCAGTCATACGCTTCTCGCATTGAACTACTGTATTCACAGTACATGTCCTCATTGGATTAAACTTTTCTTCACTCAATCTTTTGCCTCTAGTGTTTTTCTTATAGTCTTACTAACCATCAACTATGCACGTTACACGAACTTCATAACAGAAGCGGACAAAAAGGAGGGAGGGACATAGAGATTATAACAGAAAGAAAGAGAGAGAGAGAGAGATGGTCGTAAAGAGAGAGAAAAAGAGTGTGGCACAGAGAAGAATCGGAGGAAGATAGGCAGATGTTTGTAGTGAGGGGTTAAATCATCTTTCGTCAGCTGAGGGGGGGTCAGTTGAGAACAAATTTGCACTTAAACTGCAATTGACCTATTAAAATTATAATCTTTCCTTTTTTTTTTAAATCTTATCTTCGCGAATTTATTGCAGCTCAAGGGAACCCAAATTGTGTTGAGCTTCCGAGAAGGAAACACAAAGAGAGAAGGACATAGAAAGTTAAATCGAAAGCGGGAGATAGATAGATAGATAGATAGATAGAGAGAGAGAGAGAGATAGAGAGAGAGAGATGGTTGTAAACGAAAGAGGGTGTGACACAGATAGGGATGGTGAGTGGGGATCATGTTAGATAAAGGCAGTTGTTTGTAGTGAGGCGTTAACTCATGTTTCGTGACCTAACGATCTGTTATGGATAAACTAACCCCCGAACTGCAAGTGACCTTTTGGAACTAAAATCTTTTTTTTAATAATAATTATAATCATTTTCTAATACAATAAAAATAGATGACGGTTTTCTAATAAAAAATCATTAAAACCAAAATGTTTTGAGCGTTCGAGAAGGAAACAGAAAGAGAAAGGAATGTAGAAAAAAAAAGAGACTGCCACACATAAATGGACTGGAGGGCCGCATCTTACTTATTATAAAACGCAGATTGTGTGTGTGTGTGTGTGTGTGTGTGTGTGTGTGTGTGTGTGTGTGTGTGTGTGTGTACGTTTATATTGGATCGGATTTCCTACATTTTTCAACCGATTTCAATAAAACTTCACAGAACTACGTAAAATTACCTTGCGGTGGTTCTAACAGCGCCAAAAATTGGAAAAACACAATTGTTTTTGCACGAAATCAATTTGAAAACACGATTAAGTGGCATCGCTGTCGAGAATGAAAGGGGGACAACTCATATCGAGTGTGCGTGTGTGTGTGTGTGTGTATGTGTGTTCGTTTATATATGGGATCGGATTTCCTACATTTTTCAACCGATTTCAACAAAACTTCACTTTTTTTGGCAGGTAGTGTTTCTTATTGTCTTGCACACTTTTTTCTTTATTTTTACATTCAGAATGCTTTAAAAATTCCATTTACAAGACAATTGTTTATAATAAAATTCTATTCAATCGGTAGACTCATAACGATTGAAAACAATGTTTTTGTTTGAGTTTGGGTTTGACCAATTCGTAAAAAAAAAAAAAAATTAAGACATGCGTGTCCGTCGATCTTAAACAATAATCTTTGTCAATTTTATTTTTCAGTCTTTATGATGGTCGATAAATGATCTATCTCTTATTGTTACATTCCTGGGCAACGCCGGGCTCTACTTTTAGTCTTAGATAAAGGCGGGTATTTGTGGGGAGGGGTTAAATCGTGTTTGTGACCTAACAATCTGTTGAGGCCAAATTCAACCCCGAACTGCAACTGACCCATGGAAATTAAAATATTTCAGTTTATCTTATCTTTGCGAATTTATTACAGCCCAAGGGAACCCAGACTGTGCTGAGCGTTCGAAAGGGAAACTGAAAGATAGAGAGAAAGAGATAAAAAGAGCGTGCTACACATAGATGTAGTGGAAGGGGTATTTTAGATAAGGGCCAGTTGTTTGTAGTAAGGGTTGAATCCTGTTTCGTAACGTAATGATCGGTTAAAGACCTTTTAGTATTTTTTAAAGAGACTATGTCACTTTTTTTATAACTATCGGAGAATGGTCAAGGGTTGAAAAGGGCAGTTGAGCACTGTTGAGTGATAAGCTAATTCTATAAACAACAGTCACCTGCGTTAATGCAAAGATCTTCGGTAAAATGAATAGTTGCACTGAGGAGCTTTGATACAGCGAAACAGTACTGTCTGAGAACTATATATATATATATATATATATATATATATATATATATATATATATATATATATATATATATATATATTCAAAATTGTTTAGTTAAATAATGTAGATATATCATGTTGATTAGCTTTCGTTGTGATCACGTTCACGAATTATTTTTTGGTAGATTTAGAAAATTGAACAAGAAAAATACCAAAATTATCTTTTGAATAGTTTTAATTTTACCAAGTATTTTCAATCTCATCGGAGACCATCTGAAGGTGGGGGGTGTTAAGTTGCCTGTGAGTATGTATATGTGCTTCTGTGAATTTAAAACATTTCAACTGTTCGAATTTTCCACTGCTGATGAAACGTTCTGGATTTAAATGGCCAAAGTTCCTGTGTTCTTTTGTTTTTCTTCAGTGTAAGGGGAGTATTTTTTTTCCTTTTGTTCATACGTATATAATTTTTTTTTCATAAGCTTTTAAGGACATTGTCGTTTTTATCATAGTTGTCTTTATTTATTTTGGGCTTTAACTCTCTTATATAAAGGCCTTCAAGGATTTTTAGTTTTTGCATCTTATTGTTTTATGTAATATAGAAATATTTTCAATTAACATCCATCTAATCTGTTAGTGTGGGCATGACTGTTTCTTTAAGTGCTGACGTAATGAGCTACTAAAATAATCTACCAAAAAATCAATCCGCCACCTTGAAAGGGTCACAACGAAAACTAATCGACATAATATGTCTAAATTATTTAACCAAACCTGTTTGAATTAAAATATTATGCCTAAATATACAATATATATATATATATATATATATATATATATATATATATATATATATATATAAAAAATAAAAGAAAGAACAGTAAGATATATAATTTCAGCTTCCATTTTTGAAACATGGTTAGAACTGTGTAGCGAAAAATATTTTAAATCAATTAATTTATAATATATATATATATATATATATATATATATATATATATGTGTGTGTCTCAGTTTATATATATATATATATGCCTCAATATATGTCTCTCTCTCTCTCTCTATATATATATATATATATATATATATTGAAGTTTATTATATATATAATTTGAACAAATTTGAGGTAAATGAGAGCAAATTTGAAATAGATATATAAATAGATATTTTTAACAAGATGGATGCCATGTATAGCATCCTTATGATAATCTTGATCAGACAAAGTTATTTAAGAACGTGTCATGATTTTTAGGGTTAATATTTTGGTTTTGTAACATCTTACAGTGTCAATTTAAGTAAACAATTTAAGAGAGCCAAAGAACATATCTTCTAGCACTGGTATAATCGAATAAACAGAAATGGATTGGACTCAAAATCTAAATAAATCTAAGTAAAACCAATGCAAAACTGATACAACTAAACAAAAACAATAAGATTCCTAGAAAGTAATTGATCAACCTGTGGGTAAAAAAAAGGTACGAGAAAATGATGGAAGGACGCCTAGATTAGTAAATACGCAGAGCCAGAGAAAGATAAAGCGAGAAAGCAATACAGAATAATAGAAAAGGGTTGAGCAAAAAAGAGAATAGGAAACAAAGAGAGAAAGACAGTTTGAAAGAAATGGCAGACAGATTTGTAAGAATTCAGAAAATGGTAGACAGATTTACAAGCACCAAGAAAATGATAGACAGATTTGCATGCACTAGAAAATGGTAGATTTGCAAGCATCCATAAATAGATTTATATGCACTCATAAAATGGTAGATAGATTTGTAAGCACCCGTAAAATGGTAGATAGGTTTGTAAGCACCCATAAAATGGTATATATATTTGTAAGCACCCCTAAAATGGTAGATAGGTTTGTAAGCACCCCTAAAATGGTAGATAGGTTTGTAAGCACCCCTAAAATGGTATATAGATTTGTAAGCACCCCTAAAATGGTAGATAGGTTTGTAAGCACCCCTAAAATGGTAGATATATTTGTAAGCACCCCTAAAATGGTAGATAGATTTGTAAGCACCCGTAAAATGGTAGATAGGTTTGTAAGCACCCCTAAAATGGTATATATATTTGTAAGCACCCCTAAAATGGTAGATAGGTTTGTAAGCACCCCTAAAATGGTAGATAGATTTGTAAGCACCCCTAAAATGGTAGATAGGTTTGTAAGCACCCCTAAAATGGTATATAGATTTGTAAGCCCCCTAAAATGTTAGGTAGATAGAGTTGTAAGCATCCATAAAATGGTAGATAGATTTATAAGAAGCCATATAAAGATAGATACATAGATTTGTAAGCACCCATAAAATGGTAGACAGATAGATTTGTAAGCATCCAGAAAATGGTAGACAGATAGATTTGTAAGCATCCAGAAAATGGTAGATAGATTTGTAAGCACTCAGAAAAGTGTTGATAAATAGATATGTAAGTACTCATCAAAAGTTCCCAGCGAACTTTTTTCTGAAAAACTATTAAATATGGAACATGGCAGAAAAAGTCGGGTAATTTCTTAAGTGCTACAAAGGACCGGCCATTTTCCAGCATCCTTAGAAATGGATTGTATATGTGAGTTTCACTTGAGATCTGGTTTAAGCTTGAGTCACGACAGACGTTATAGGCAAGGACTGTCATTAAGTGTGCAACAATAGATAGATATAGTTATTAACTGACACTACAAAAACAACTGAAAAATATATATGAGACTAAAGATAAGACGAAAAAAGAGGACAATTCACTGATTGGATAAATAATATTCACTCCTTATCTTCTATATTTTTTCCTACTTATTCCCAAGCTAAGAAAGTTTCACCTATTTTCTATGCCTCTTTTCGTAACATTTATGTAAAATAAAGGAGAATAGTTTAAGTTTAGAGATTAAGAAGAAAAAAAGAAATATTTTCTTATTGATACATAAACGTACAGATTGTGGGAAATATATATATGATATACGATATTTTTGGCAGGATTAGTTGACGATACACCAAGAAAAACGGGAAAAACGCGGGATGCAACAGGTTTTTCCACTGGTCCGTGAATTAAATATTCAGCAATTAACAAATATATATATATATATATATATATATTTCTCCAAAATTCTCCAGTGAGCATGTTCCGTTTGTTAGAGAACAGATAATACGCAAAAAAAAAGGAAAGAAAAAAATAAAAAAATGATGAGATAGGCGTATTCTCTCACTTTCACCTTCTCCGTCACTAAGAAGTAGTCGGCAGCATTTCCCTACTGTAGTCAATACAGACCATGTGTTGTGTTATTTGAAAAGGGAGGTTATTATATTTTCAGTAAGAAACAAACAATGCAAATTTGCTGGATTCGGCTGAAAACAGTCGTGGAAACGGATGCAGTGACGCCACTGTTACGACTCCGGAACAACGACCGCAGTTTCCCAATGTCACATTTTATTTCTTTTTTCGTTCATTATTCTAAACGAGATGACTCGTACTTGAAATCAGAAAGAGACAGTTGAAACTTTTGTAACACATTATGAGGAAGGACGGCATAGAAAATTTATCACTCACATGACATATCAAAGGAAGGAAACGGGGAGAAGTCGCTTGAATAGATTACAGAAAATATACTACAAGGAGTGATGGTAAAGTGCCAAACGTTGCTTAGAGCTACAAGAAAGAGGAATTTGTGGAGGGCCGTGATTGCCCACACGGTGCATAAATGATCATAGCGAAGTGGCGACTAAAAGACGCTGTTTGTTCTGTTAGGGAAGGACAGCACGCCATTGATAATTAATGAATGAATACGAACGTGAGGTAAAGTTACTTTCGATTTTGATCCGAAAACGAAACAGATGCCTTGCACGCAATTCTTGCCACTCTCGCCATGTTCTCCTTCTGAAACAGCCCTCTTAAGTCAGAGGAAGTATTTTCGCCCACGCACGCATGCGTACACACGGACACAGCGCCTATCCTCTCTACGTTGTCAGAGACTCCCGAACATTAAGACTTCGTTTCGTTTCCTCTGCTCTTATATAGGAGTTTTTTTTTTTTTTTTTACCTAATACAGGTTTGCTAATGCCAAGTGGCAATTTTATTTTTTTAATTAGTTAAATTACTTAAAACTCTTGAAATTCTTCAAAAGTTAGCCTCTTTAAGTAATACTGCAATGCCTCCATTTTCGTTTCATTTTATTCGAGATTTCATCACTTCGATCTTTATTTTTCTCCATTTCTTTTTCTTTATATATTTGTTCTTTTTCTTATTTTAGAGTTCTTTCATTTTTGATTCTTGCATTTAATTTTTTTTTCATTCTTTCATTTTTAATTCTTTTTCATTAAATTTCTATTTTTTTTTTTGCACTCTTTATTTTTTTGTTTCTTTCCCTTTTGAATTTTTTCCCTCCATTTTTTTTTCTTTCTATTCAGTTTCCTTTGTCTCTTGAGTACCTACATTTTTTACAACCTCATTCTATTACTCTTCCTGTTCCATTTTCGTTCTTTTTTTTAATCTTCTTTCCTATTCGTCTTTCTTTGGTTTTTCTTTTCCCACTTTCCTTTAAATTCATTCATTTCTTTCTTGTTTTTCGATCACTTCCCATCCCACACATTCTTTCTTTCTTTCTTTCATTTTTCTTGCGTTTTTCTCGTTTTCCCTCTCACATAATCTTTCTTTCTCTTGCTTTCCAACTAATTTATTTATCTCTCTCTACCATTAATTAATTTATTCTTCTCGATTTTCTCTCGCTCTCCCTCTCATATATTCACTCTTCTCTTCTCTTCTCTTCTCTTTTCTTTCTTTCTTTCTTTCTTTCTTTCTTTCTTTCTTTCTTTCTTTCCCTCTAATTCCTTTCTGTCTTTATTTTCTCTCTCTTTTTATTCTTGTTCTTCTCTAGTTTTCGCTCACTTTTTCATTCTTTTTTCTTCTCTCTCTTTCTTACTTTCTTTTCTGTCTTTATTTTCTCTCAATTTTTTTTTGATTCGTTTCTCATGCTTTTCTCTAGTTTTCTCTAATTTTTTCTTACATTCTTTTTTCTGTCTTTCTTTCTTTCTTTCTTTCTTTCTTTCTTTCTTTCTCTGTGTATCTCACCTTTCTTTTGTACTTTACGCCGAACCAATTAGCAATGCACCAATGCTCGAACGCATGCGCACAACTACAATGATTCTCTCGGTTCAAAATTCAAAAGAGTGCTTATCTCGTAAATTATTGATCGTCAGTTTGTTCCGCATTAGTACGCCTACTGATGTACGAAGTGGACTGGAGTAAAGTCCTGCTATATAAGTGGCGTACAAAGTGTTTGTTTTGTGTTGAAATGAAAAACAAAACACTGGCAAGCATACATCCATTTGCGTGTACGCACTTACAAGGTAAAAGTACCCCACCCCACACACACATCAACACGCTGGGAATTGTACAGCTTCCTATATTTGAAAGTCATTGCTAATGAATATGAGTTTCATTGGCTCTCAACTCTCGTGACGTCATCACTGATTAGCCTGGGTTTCCTAAATATCTTTTTTTCTAATGATGAGAAAGAACACGGTAACTCAAAAAGATATCTATACTCAATATTTCACAATACACACACACACACACACACACACACACACACACACACACATATATATATATATATATATATATATATATATATATGTATATGTAAAAGGTGTATAAAAAAACCCTTTGAAAAATTTGATAGCGGGTTCCGCACACTAAAACAAAGACAAAAGTCCGTATAAACATATGTCCGCAAATCCGTGAGTTATTAAGTTTAAAGGTAGCGGTAGACGCTATTAAATGTACAATCCAAGATACAATCCCAAAATGATTTTACCAAATTTGGAGGGCACCATTCTTGGCACCGAAACAAGGTAAAATGGCCATATAAACATATGTCCAAAAGGCCATCGTTGTACCTCAACGCATAACAAATGTTCAAAATGTCTTCCGCTTGCTTCTGCACACGCATGCACCCGTCGGATCATTGACTGGCGGACTCTTTCAAATCTTCCTACACCGTGTCGAATGGTTTCATGAGAGGATGTTAAATAATAGGCTGGATCTCTATCTCCATGCAAGAATGTTGTTTTTCTAAAAAAAATCTAGACTCGGAGTAGATTATAGCACCCATCTTTTTTATATGAAACCTGAAAATCTGCATATCATGCCACCATATATGTTAACCTCACATCTGGGGAAATAGAATACTTTATATTTCGTTATCTATCTATCTATCTATCTATCTATCTATCTATCTATCTATCTATCTATCTATCTCAGTCTGTTCATATCTATCTATCTATCTATCTATCACACAGTAAGTAATTAATCCTTGTCATGTTATTTTCGGGTTAAAATCACCCACCTAAATTTCTAATAGACTGTCTTTCTTTTTTGTCTCATGCCCTTTCTTTCTTTCTTTCTTTCTTTCTTTCTTTCTTTCTTTCTTTGTCCCATCACCTTTTTCTTTCACTTTTCTTTTTTTAATCCATGGCCTTTTTTCTTCACTATTCTTTCTTTCTTTGCTCTATCATCTTTTGTCATCCATTATTCTTTTTTTCTTTCTTTCTTTCTTTCTTTCTTTCTTTCTTTCTTTCTTTCTTTGCCTCATCACCTTTTTCTTTCACTGTTCTTTCATCTTTCTTTCTTGATGCATAAATAGATACTAAAGTTAAATTCTTCTGACATTCGGTCTCATGCTAAGACAGTAGCATTCAAATGTTGACTTTTAACCAGGTTCGTACATCGGCAACAGGCACAAACCCCTATTACGCAACTGGACTATAGATAACTGAATACATATATAAATACGAAAATTGAAACAGAATTTGAAACTATTTAATGACTGCTTTCTCCGAAATTTGTTGAAATAAATCATTCATTATCTGCATTGTGGCACAAGCCAGCATAGCTGTCATCTCCCCTTCGTATTATTGGGCGTCATCTTTCCTTCACCTCTGCCTCATTTACAAAAAGTGCAGCTAACAGCATGACACTAACCAGACTTTCTGTTCGAAACAATTAAATAATCAAATGTTGGTTTCTTTTATGCAAAACGTTTTTTCGTAGAGACAAATTTATCTTTGTAATTAGCGATGAAAATCAGATTTCAAATGTGTCTTTATTGAAGTATGGGAGACAACTCTTGCTATACAGTAATTATGAGAAACAAATAAAAGTTAATCATTTTAAAAAATATAATCGAACATCGCCCAGTGTTAAATCGTTAAATCAATAAGACAATTTGCAGAAGAGGAATATACATTTATTTTAGATAACAGTATTAAGATCTGTGCGTACGCACGCGTATACATGCACACACACACACGCACACAAATAGACAGATTCATACATACATACACAAGCAGACACAAAAATGCATACACAAGCGGACATGCAAAGACGCAGACATCCATAGACACAAGCAGACACCAAGGCACGGATACAGACATGCAAAAGCAGACAAACAAACACAAACAGATACAAACAGGCACAGGTAAACACATACACACAAAGTCATGGCCACAGACATGCACAGGCACACACATACAAAAAGTTAGTTCACCCACATGTCCAAGTAGATAGGCGCATACACAAGCAGGTACACAATGGCAGGGCAGCTTGTATACACATACTCAAAGAACTTAACAACGTTAAACAAACACTAATCAACAACGGTTTCCCTAACTACCTTATAGACCAACAAATTATACTATTCCTCCCCAAAGCAAGTAATAACGATAGCGAACACACAGCTAAAAATCATATACACATTTATTACAAAAACCAAATGCATATTAATTACAAACAAGACGAATCTTCTCTAAGGCATATTATAAAGAAATATACTACTCTATTGATCCGAATAAAAAAAATCAAACTTATTATCTATTATAAAAAATTAAGACGGCCAACCTTATCCTAAAAAATAACAACACACCAACTAAGTCAAAATTACAAAGAACAAACATTATCTATGAGTTCAACTGCGTTCCTCACCAAACCGGACTCATAAATAATTACATCGGCTACACAACCACATGTTTATCCAGACGTCTTACGTTACACTTATCTGATCACAGCTCCATCAGAACACATTTAAACACACACTCAGATTTACCCGACACTATTAGGAACATACTAGTAGAAAACACAAATATATTAACTGCAAAAAAAGACTAAAAATAATGGAAGCTCTAATAATAAAAAAGAAAAAGCCAACTCTTAACAATATTAACTATGAACAAAGCCATAATGTGCTAACCGTATTCGGAAATTAAAAACATCACTACCACACACTGAACATACACAGAACGCACGCACTCTACTAAGCTGATAATCGAATCATCCTTGATAATGGCTAAAGGTATAGCCGAAAGCGCTCGGAAATACAAAACATTCGGACAGTTCTTACAGACCCTTTGTCCAGAAAAGAAAGCTCTTGTCAGAACACAAGAAAAATTAAATAAAAAGCTCAACCGTAGTACCTTGTCTGTCGTTTTTAATGAAACATGCATATATATATATATATATATATATATATATATATATATATAATAGCAGCTGCATTTACTGTCTACTGCAAAGAAAAGTTGGGTCACTGTCTCGTACAAGAAAATGAAAATGTTTCCATCTTGTGAATTTCCAAATTTACCATTCGTTCGTGCATTGAATACTGCTTTCATATATGGTCTGGTGCTATACATTCGAGATTCAAGATTCAAAGAAAGATCTGAAATATAATCGATCCTGACTTGGCATCTTGTTTTCACCGATGTGACGTGGCTTCCCTCTGTCTTTTCTACAAATATTTTCATGGCAACTGCTCTGATGAGCTTTTTTTTTCCCGGGTGCCCCGACTGCATGAATTTAAGCGCGCTACTAGATTGGCATCTAGGTCCCACTGTTCAAAGAATTAAATGTTCTACTCCAACAGTTTCTTTTCTCGCACTTCCCGGCAGTAGAACTCTCTTCCGGTTTCTTGCTTCCCTGATAACTGCAATCTGCCAAAATGTAAATGCAACACCACCGGCCATCTTTTTTTTCTCAAACACCGTTCAGCTTTTGTCCTTTTCTCAATCCTCCCTATTTTCAGGGTTTTTCTTTCTTCATGTATATCCTTACGTACTCGTGGCATTACCGCCTTGCTTCGGGTGAAATGATATATATATATATATATATATATATAGATAGATAGATAGATAGATAGATAGATAGATAGAGAGAGAGAGAGAGAGAGAGAGAGAGATTGACCACTAATCATACTTATTATAAAACCCATGTTGTGTGTGTGTGTGTGTATGTGTGTGTGTATGTGTGTCTGTACGTTTATATATTGGATCGGATTTCCTACCTTTTCAACTGATTTCAACAAAACTTCACAGGAAAACATTGTTACAAAAGGTATTCAGATCTTTAAAATACGGGTAATATTAAAAAAGAATTTATTCTAACCAATAATTACTAAATTATATGATAAAATTTGATATTAAAATTAAAAACTGCCAATTTTAAAATCCAAATTTAATCACTATTAAGTTTAAAAACTATAAAATTACTGAGGAGAAAAGAAAAAAATACAAATGTTATTCAATTTATTTCTTCGTTGAAATTACGTTAGAACAGACGCTACAATATCCGGTCATCCGACAATACATGAATATATATTTTAATCCCAAGTGTGTGAATGGGCTCTTAAACTCACGCGCAAAACACAATATTGTGTTTGTGTTGAATAGCTATTATAACATGATTTCGTTGTCAAGCTTTTGAATCTTCCTATACTTGGGTTTTGATTGGT